ATCATTTATCACAATAACATTGATATCGTTACAATCAAAACCAGTCAAAAAGATTGACGTACTTCAGTTGATATTGCCTCAAGTTTTCTCTGATAGTTCTCTTTCTGTTTCAACAATTCGCTTTGCCGGCTGACATCCTTAAATTCAAATACGAATGAATTTATGCAATGAAACGTGAAATGTAACTGGTCAATAAAGCGAATAAGAAAATGAAACCGATTTCGTGCCATCACTCGAAGCCAACTCCAGTCTTGCTCTTTCATCCGCGAGCATTTCTTGAACGTGTTCCAGTTCGGAAGGTATCGAATTTGATGTCCATTGCTTCAATTACAACAATGAGATCGACAATTAAGTACCTAATTACAATGAAATAAACAATAATAATAACATTTACAATAATAATAACATTAATAATAATAATAACAATAATAATAATAACGACAACAATAATAATAAACAAAACACACATTCTTCAGATCCTTTAATAAAGTTTGTTGTCGCCTGTCCAACAGATTTTCCTTCGTTGAATTGATCTGACATAAATTAAACAACTTTCGAGTGATCTCTTCCATTCTCTGCTTTACTTCACTCACTTCTTCTTGACATTCTCCGAATCTTCGCTGAAATATTAACAATAAATAAATGGTACAATAACAATAATAGTAAACAAACAAATAAATAAGTCATAACAACAATAACAATATCAATACCTTGGCGCTGTGCAGCTTCTCCTTGATGTCGCTCATCCGCTCATTATCCTCCCAAATCAGTCGAGATGCCTCCTGGTATCGACGTCTTGCAAACGTTCTCGATTTGATTGTCGATTCCAATTTCCTCTTTAAATAACTTATGATAAAGTTTGCCGACTGACATCCTTCAATAATAATAATAATAATATAATGAAATTGATCGAAAATAACGCAATAAAAGTAATAACACACGATCAGTTCGATTGATTCATTGAAGATTTGCACATGTTTTTTGATGGCATCACGCCGTGCACACTGAACGGCAGTCTTTGCTGCTTCCAGATCTGGTTTACGGCTCTTCACTTGTTTTAATCTATAATTCACTATTGTTTTCATTAGCCTTAATGTCAATCTTATATCTTTATTCTTATCATTAATATCACTATTATTATTGTATTACTATAATTAATGCTATTATATCATATTACTATCATATTACCATTACTATTATATTACTATTACTATTAAAATCAACATTATTTTTACTATTATTAATGCTATTATATTACTGTTACTATTAGCGACATCAAAATTATTATTAATACCGACACAATCACCAAAAATATATCCACCAACTAACTTCTGTTCAGTTTGATTGATCAAATGCTTCACCATTCTCAACTGCTGCTCTTTCGTCGATATATTACTCTGAAAATTTGGAAAAAATTAAATGTTCTGAAAAAATTGAAAATTTTGCACAGAAACTGATCGAAACTGTCAAGTTGTTAAGTGGCATTCTGAATAAACAACTGAATGAAATGGAATAAAGAAACTGCTCACCAACTGCGTTCTGATCGCGTCTTGTTTCACTGCAACTTTTTGCTGAACGCCTTTCAATTGTTTCAAATCGTT